ATTTGCACAGGCCAAGAAATATAGAAGCTGAATCTGAGTATCAAGGAAATTTAGTCAATAATTCTGACCCTTTTCCTCTTTAATAGGAGGCTGATGCCTAAATCACCTAGGGGATTGCATAATGCAAATATCCTCAATGCAGAGGAGTGTCTCTTCTCCTAAGATAAACAGTTGAGGAATACTTTTCTCCCACTGGTCTCCCTTAGTTAGGAAAAGATGGCACCAATCTTTTGGCTCTGGGGCCACGTAGGTGATTAAAAGCTACGTGTTAACAGGAATATCCCTTCATAGTGATTAATCATTTATTCGCACGTTTTAGATTTACTGAACGTTGAGAGTAAATTGGCTTGCATCAATTACTTTTTTTTAGTACAAGCTGCTTAAGGCATTTGCATATGTTGGTGATTTTTGAAACGTTCTGCCTACTTGTCAAAAAGCTAACATCTACTTATCCTTGCTCTGGGACTAAACATCGCTTCCTCAGGAACACCTGCCTAACCCTCCGTGTTTCACAGCACTGTGTATTTTCCTTTTATGATTCTTATTCCAAAGTGTGCAATTAAAAACATATTTGTATCCTCATTTAACATAGTCTCCCCTATGTACCACGAAAGCAAGAGAAGAGTCGCTTTTATTATTGCATTAATATTTACCTAGGAACAGTTTCTGGAACATAGAAGTTTCTAATAAATATATGGAGTGAATGAAAGCTAAAGCAAATTATAAAAGAATGTAAATGTATGGCAAAACATTTATGTAATCCTTTAAATTAACCAGATACACTTAAGATTTACTCAAAATTATTAACTAATATTTTGGAAACCAAAAAACATTTTTGATCCACAATTATGGAGGATCATATCCCTTAGAAAGGAAACTCATGAAGATAGTCTTTTAACTTTTCTGCTTCTGGCTTAGAATACAGTGCATATCATATCTAGTTTTCATTGTTTAAATAGATGAAATTTACACCTGTGCAAGACTTTTGTTCTCCTCTACATTCACAGAATTGGGTTTAATGAAAGCTTTGCTTTATATTTTATAAAAGCAAATCTCAGAATATTCACAGAATCAAAGTACTAATTAGCATTTATTACAAAAATTATAAAGTGCAAATTATTATGAAGAATGTACCAGATATATGTAGAGTTCAATATCACATTTAAGTTGTGATAATAAACTTGTCACTTGAGTAATGTTCTGTGGCTTGCTGGGAATATCTAACATCTAGGTCCTGGGTGTGAAAAGTGGATTTTGTAGCATTTGCTTATTTCTCAAGTGTGCATACTTCTATCATGTCAATTTCAAGGTACTAATGTTACACCAGTGAATGCATTGCTGGAAAGAGAGGCATACAATTGGCTCCCACATCCAGGATGAGCTGCTTGGCTTCATAATCTTACTCCCCAAGAATCATATATGACTTGTTGGTGTGATAACATAAATGGTTTACAGTTAAAGCTGGACATAGCCTTGACTATCAAAATTCTGGGAACCCAAACTCCCAATCATCGGGGTAAAACTTTTAAGTATGTTATTGCACTGTTGAAAATAAACTTGACTTAAACATATGGAGATTTACTGCTGTTAAGGGTAAAAGCACCCACCCCCCATTCTTTCTAATAGAATTTATAACCAAACCAATGGAAGGAGAAACACCAGACTTTAAAAAGAAACCACTGACTACACTCAAATGTCTTTTTAGGAGCCTGTCAACAATACTTTAGGTCATACACACTGAACTGGATTCAATAAAAGCTTCACTTTGGTTTTCACAAAATCAAAACCAAGAACAGCACAGAATCCATTTTGGTTACTTGGACAGAGTTGGTACTGTTCACATCAATCTATGCTCTTCTCTATCTCCAAACCACAGGACACTCTGCACTTCTTTCAGTGTTGAGGTTGGGGAGGGAGCTGGAGTGGACAGTGTGAGAGGGTGCGGGGAAGAGGACGCCGCACAGGGAGGGTGAAGAAGTACAGCCTGTGGTCAAGAACTCAAGTGGCTGAACTAACACAGGTGAAGAAATGATCACGAAACAGGCACAGGTCACACCCTTAGTGTTATGGACTGTATGTTTGTGTTCTTCCACAATCTGTATGTTGAAACCTAATCCCCAGTGTGATGGTATTAGAAGATGGGGGCTTTAGGAAGGCAATTTTAAGTCATGAGAGTAGAGTCCTCATCATGGCATTAGTGCCTACGTTAGAAGAGACACACAGGAGCTTACTTTTCTCTTGGCCCTCCACTGTGAGGATACAAAACAGCCCTTTGTGAACCAGGAAGAGGACCCTCACCAAGAACTGAAATCTGCCAATACTCTATAATCTTGGACTTCCCAGTCTCCAGAAATGTCAAGTGTTTGTTGTTCAAGCCACCTAGTCTATGGAATTTGCTCCAGCAGCCTGAACTAACCAGGACACTTAAAAAACATCATTATAACTCCAATAATTACACTTGACTATTGAAGTACTGTATTTCAAGGGCAGCCTATGAATTTAGAAAACTATCAGCATAAAAAAATCAGATGTATAAGAATGTTTACAAGTATTAAGATAGAGAAAAATTATAAACAGCCCAAATGTTCAAGAGATGATTTAAATTATGGCACATAGATTTAGTGGCATATGCAGCCACTAAAATAATTTTTCAAAATAAATATATTCACAGGGGTTTAGAGGGGAAAAAGATTTGAAAATTCACATATATAGTACACTTCCAGTTTTAAAATCTTACACATAGAAAACAAAATGGGAAGTTATCAAACTGCTGAAATTATCTCCATGCTGAAATTAAAGTGATTTTTTAATTGTATTTTTCCTTATTTTCAAATTGTCAACAAAGACATTGAAATGTTTGAAAAACATTTCAAGCCTTTCAAAAACTAGTCTACAAACAGGAAACAATTTAAGGCACGTTGTTTTTGAGCATGTTACTAGTTTAAAGAAGTCAATTTTTAGACTCTTGTACCGAACAGTACTGTAGGATTACAAAACACATCTGTGCACTGTACATCAGGCTAAATGATGGAGAACTGAGATGTAAATCTACCTCGGAATCCAATGTTTCAATTTTATCTGCATAAAAACCTTTTCAAATTGTGATTAAACATTACACAAGGTGACTGCATTGTCCTGGCTGCTTAATGATCCTCAGGATTGGCAGGCCTTTGAGGAAACCTAATGGAGCCCAGCCACGTGAGACTGAGAATGTTAACAGGGCCCTCAGCTATCACTTCTTGTGCTAAAGCATGTACTGGGGATGCTCAGTCATTTATCTCGTCACTAAACAAACCATTTGCAAAAATTTTAGCAACACAAATGCTTTGGGCATTCCACCCTCTGTGTGCCTCAGCTCACCTTTTTAAAATGGGAATAAAGGTGCCACAGGGTTGTTCTGAGAGGATAACTTTTGAAGTGCTGAGGAATCCACCCTTGGCTGTTACAGAGATGCTGTCAGGCAAGGTCATTAAAAAGAAATTAACTGCCTGAAATCAAATGCCAGCTTAGCCACTTATTATCTCTCTTGCAGAGTTGATTAAAAATTGTGTCTATCAGTTGTTATATGTATCACAGTGATACAATAAAAGACTGAGGTCAGAATTCTGCCTTTTTCCTAAGAAAAGGTCATTATAAGGAAACGCTCCCCGGCTTAAGACAAGTATTTAGGTAACATCATGCCAGTAATAGTAATGTCTAAGTTAAAAGATCAAAATCAAAAGAATTTTCAGCTTCCATAAGTTTTAGCTTGTGCACTCTGCCCTTTATTCTCCCTTGAGATTGGCAATAAATTTGACACAGCTTGAAAAAACGGTGTTGAAAGGTTTGGACAAGCTTTTATGCAAGTAGAATACTTAAGACAGATGCTTGGTACAGACTAAGCACTGTAGAAATGAACTATTATAAAGTCTTTATATATTTTTGCATTGAGTTGTTAAAAATAGTATTATATAGTTTACAAAGGTATAGTCAGGTTCATTATTTTAATGTTCTGACCAGGATTATAAAACCCGTGTAAATCAGAATTCCAATCTCACTAAGCCCATGACATCGTTGTATACGAGTTTATTTGCTGAGTATGGAGTTTTGAGCTCTCCAGAATGGATCATTTTTGATCTTAAGTAAACTAAGGTAATGGAATGTTTAAAGATGGAGTAAAAAAGGTTCCATTCTGAACATCTTGTTGGACGCTATGGTTTGTCCTATTAATTTTGGTGAAATAATATGAAAATGATCAAGTGGAACTGAACACTTGGATATAAGGGTCACTCTTCTCAAACTGGGGTTAAGTCTTCTAGAGCTACCATAAAAAAATTCTAGCCATCACTGACCTCCAATTACTTTGAGAAAAAAGTGAACAATAAAAATTGTTGAGTCCCCAGATACCACTTAGAAACCAAATCTGTATACTTAACAAATCAGAACAGAAATAACAGGACCAGCCTTTTATTACTAAAAAAGCTTCATTTTAACACATCGAGGGTAACTTGCCATTTTCTCAAGTGGTGGTGGTAGGAACCTGACTCAGGATTCTACCCCCATTAGGCTTGTCCATAGCCCATGCCCTGACAGATCATGTCCAAATCCAGAGTAGACGATCAGTTTATATGCACATACTGCTTTAGGCATGTTTGAGCCCATGTGAGCAAGGAGGGGAGGCTCACCCCACAGGCTCTCAGGAACCACCACCATGTGACCTAAGGTCAGAGTGTCTAGGTTCCACCCACTGAGGGAGTGAGATGCTGAGGCAAGTCAGCTTACAGCTGTTGAAGTTTTAGACAGAAGGTGTGGCCTGATTAAACTGACAGGTTGGAGAAAAGACTGGAGGGGGCCCAGGTGAATGCAGGGACACCAACTGTAACTTACTCAAATGAGAAAGATGAATGGTTTCAAGAGATCAGAGTTAAAAATCAACATGAGTTGGAGATAAATAGTAGGGTTCTGTTATTAGAAATAGTGTTATGAGTTAGTTTCTGCTGTGTAACAAACCACTCCAAAACTTAATGGCTTAAAACAATAAACATGTATTATTTCTCAAAAAAAAGCGTTTTTTATTTAGCTTTCTGACTCTGTGCTTGTGCCTTCAATACTTTCACAACAATTTTCTGCTCCTCAATAAGGAAAGCACGCTTGATCCTAGAAAGAAAAATATTGTTTAAAAAAAACCATTGATTTAACACAAGCAGTAAAAGTATAAAAGAACTGAGCAAAGCAATCAGGGAAGATAACCAGAAAAGTAAATGAAGCAGATTAAGAACTTAAAAAGCTGAAATTGTATGACCAGACCCTTTCAGCCTACTCTCCTTCCTATACTGGCATTTAAAACAGGGCAATTATTCAATTCTATGCTAGTAATACCTGCCTCTCCTCTTCTGAGACATGATGAACTATAAAATCACCCCACAGTAGACTGCTCTCTGAGGGTTCATTTAACCTTGTTTCATTATTAGGATCCAGGATAATTACTTGATTTGCAAAATGCCTTAGAATGTCTTAACCACATTATTGAAAACTTCCAGTGAAACACAACATAGAAAGGGGCTGCATACCAAGAACCAAATGAAGGGGTAATAATCAAGAAGCACTTTAACAAGAGCATAAACTCTTAGAGCCTGACTGGGCCCAACTCTACCACTTGGCTGCATGATCTTGGGCAAGCTATTAAGGTACAGGAATGATTTCATACCTATTTCACAGGGTTTTTATAAAGATTAAATTTGGAAAAATTTGTAATTTCTGTATTCACACCTTTACTTGACAGGAAGTGCATTTTATTGATCACTGTTACTATAGCACATACAGCCTGGCAAACAGCAGGTACTCATTACCATTTGTTGTATCAAAGTTACCTCCAGAGATAAAGCACTCATTTAATTCCCACAGAAACCTGTCCCACCTATGTTCCCTATTGGTAGCCCTGGTTATCTAGTAACCTAGCCTCAAATCCCTGATTTGACTTCTTCAAATCTCCCTGATATAATCACATTACAAAAATACAACTGATACCACTCTTACTCAAGACCTGAAAAATTCCCTGAACTTATATAGACGGCCATCCCAATCTCCAGGAGCTGGGATCTGAGTATTCTAAGTGCCTGTTTGATTATGTTTAGCAAAGTCTGGGAACCAAAGTTTGGTAAAAAGCCAGACTCCACCAGCTTGAAACTAAGGCTTCCTTTAAAGGTATTTCCAAAGTACCTCTCCTGTAATTTTTGTCCTCATTTCACACCAGTCTATGTGCTAAATCTAAGCAACCATTGTGCATTCCTTGCTTGCAATGCCCTTTCAACCTCTTGTCCAAAACTTACCCATCATTCAGGTTCCACCTCAAATAATATTCCCAGATTCTCAGCTTTTTAAGTCACTTCTCTCAACTCCAATCACAGTTAAGTTTTCCTGTTATTTCATGGAAGTTATTTCTCTTGTATTTTTATTACTGTAACTTGCCTTCCTATTTCCTTACAAATCAATTCCTGAAAGACAGAATGAACCTCCAAAGTTTGGTGTCAGATTTGGTTTAGAAATTTAGCTAGACCACTTTACAGAGCTAGCTGAATAAACTGGAGGCAAACTCTAGACCAAGTACCTCTCAAACCCTTCCTCGTAGGTCTTTGGAGGCAACTTAATATACTCAGTAGGGCCAAGAGCAAGGATCCCAGTAAATCCTGGGATGAACCCAAGTGCTGCTTCCCACCAGCTATGTGAACTTAAGCTATTCACAAAGAATGAGAACAGAAACTCTCCCATGGGCTTTTAACAGTGTTGATTATAAAAATTCTGAGTAATTATTATAATCACAAGTTCCACTGCTTCTACCCCACCCACACCACTACCAATCCTTCGCACTAGAAAACCCTGTCCTGGAACATTCACCTGGTGACCCTCCCCTCACCCAGCCTTCAGGTCTTGATGCAGGTACCACTTCTTCAGGCTTTGCCTTAACCAAGTAGGGAAAGCATTTCAAATATTCACTTTTAGTGGAAAGAATGACTTCGCTATCCATCCTGCTGCACTTTTTGTTTCTGGGATACCAAAGGTCTCCCTGCCCTGCTCAAAACCCATCAATTGTCACAATTTTGTGGATAAAGCTAAAAATCTGTCCCAAGGCCCTTCACAATTTGTGATGTCTACCTTTCTTCTCTATCAAGTCCTACAATGCTCTGCTCCAGCCAAAAGTTCATATTACCATATACACATACACATTCCTATGCTGTTAAGACCATCCACCTGATGAAACAATAGTGCCTTACCTATCTCACTCACAAAACCAAGGGCAATAAAATTTCTCTATCTAGCATAAATATGTCCCCAAATCTTAACTGAATTAATGAATTACTGTATTTTATTAGTTTGGACACACAGATTATCCCTAGTCTAGGAAGGATTATACAGTACTCAATTTTTGCTTAGATAAATTACTTTTTCACCCATCTTCTTATAACAAATATGTGGTACAAGACACACACACACGTTTAAGAAAACCTGTTAGAGTTATGTTTACCTGTCACGGACACATTTAGCACACATGGAACCACCATAGGCCCTGCTGACGTGTTTTTTTGTTTTAGACAACCTCATAAGAACTTTAGGTCTTACAGCACGAACCTGCACAGAGAAAACATTGAGATTATTTTGTGATGCTTTAACAGAAACAGAAATTGCCCTAGATTTTTGATAGGTGTTCAGTGTAAACATTACACCAGATCACAAGGGAAGTGGTGTACTGATACAGCTGAATGGCATTTCACTGTTATTTGTTACATAGGTTTTAAAAGTCTATGTTCTTGGCAGATTTGGATCACAGATGCTTAGTAGTAATTCTCAGCCTTCCTAACGGTGACCTCTCCACCACTCACTCCCTTACCAAGGAATTAAGTGCTCAACAGCTCCATCCTTGTTATTTTTTTTCAAGCAATGTATCACTTACTCCTCGAAGTCGGCCAGGGCACACACCACAAGCGGATTTTGGTGCTTTCCCAACCTTCTTAGTATAAAGATAAACAATTCTATTGCCAGGGGTTCGGGACCTAGGGAGCGAGAGAACAGGCAGTAGCTCAGCATTTTGCAGAGGAAATGACAATATGTATTTTCAATTGCAGAAATACTTACAGCCTAGTTTTGTTAGAGGCTGTATTGTAGGACAGCCTACGACGATATGTCAAACGCTGAACCATTCTGAATGCCTAAATTAAGAAGAATGGAGTAAAATTGTATTGCGGAAATAATTCACACCATAAAAAAACATCACCATGTGATTTATAATTTAGTTATATACAGACTCATATACAATACCCTTACATTAAGCTAACTGTGAAAAGATTTCACATTTTAAAACTACTCATTTTTAAAAGTGACTGTTAGGAGTGTTAAGAGGCAATGTTTGCTTTCCTGATGGTAATCAAATGTGACACTTGGTTAAAATTCTAGTTATCAGGCTTCTTCCTCAAGTCCATTTGGAGCTGTGTCCAGAAAAGTGCTACAAAGAGGCAAGTTAGAGGAACTCTCTTTTTAAAGGAAGAACAAACACCTGAGCATTAAAGTTGATTCCTCACCTATGCCACTTAGGGGCTAGCTTCGTTGTCTCTAAATTAGAATTTTTACTTAGTTCATAGAGCTATCATTAGGATTTAAGGAGGAAAACTATCCTGCCCAACATACTGTGCAGCACATAGTAGATGCTCAGTTTTTGCCTCAAAGCAGCACAGGGGTCAAGTGTCATTTAGTAATAGTTTTTGATATTAGTACAGTATCTTTAAATTATGGCATCAAGCTGGAGTTTGTTTTTTACATTTATCAACTGGAAATTATACTGGATATTACTTAGCAAATCTGATGGACAGACACCTATATAAACGACTTCGTTTTTCAATTAACTACCAAAAGAAGGAAGAAAAAAAACGCATTTTTTATCCCAAGTATGGTAACCATTTCATCAGAGAATGTTTTTGTTATAAGCTTCTTACTAACATTGCACTAAAATAGAATGGTCAGACACTAAAGCTGATATCGCGAGGGATAAAATCAGCAACTATTCGTTTGCATCTCCACAACCAAGGTAGAAAACTCCCTATTAACACATTTTTATCTCCTTTGCTATTGGCCTCAGAAAGCGTTTTGAAACAACCCGCACATCTGCCAGTCGTCCGCCCTCCCCAACCCTAAGAACATTTACAGGCGGTGTTAGAACGTAGGCGTAAGAGAAAACGTTCCACGATTTCGCAGCCTAAGCCAGCGGGACCACAATTCATCGTCTCCAAACGCCAGACTTCGACGGAGGTAAAGCCCTGGTCGGCCACTCACGGCTACGGGGAGAGGTACGGATCGAGGGGTATCTTAAGCTAAAAGCCGAAGAGTAGTATACCAGTAACATTCCTCCTGAGCCCTTATCTCCACCCTAACTCAAAAGACTGGGCCTGAGGGATCCCGGCTGCCGCAACTCCCGGATGGCAGCCGATTGTAAAAGGAGTAGCAACGTGAAAAGGAAAAAAAGCAGCCATACCTCTCGACACCGTCCACGGAAGAGGAAAAAAAAAAGGCGGTGGCAAGTTCAAAGGTCAATACGACCGCGCAGGACAGGAAGTTACCTCTGAACAAGAGCCGTGGTGGCTAGAGCGCCGCCATGTTGTACGTACGCCACGCAGCGCCCCTCCGTGGGCGGGAAGCATAGCGCCGACCTGTGGTACGACCACCGATGTGCCGCCTCTCTGAGGGGCCAGGCTGTGCCTCAGCGTTCCACAGCGACGCCGCACAAAGATTTTTTTTTTGCCTCGGTGTAGAGATAAATGCAAATGACAAAGGAGCTGCAAAGGGCAGAGGTGGGATAAAATCAATTTTTTTCGATCTTATGGGCGCTGTGACACTTTTAACCTAAAGAGCGCCGGATCTGGGGTTAGACCTGGATTTAATTCCAACTCTGACACTCTCTGTAAACTGCCTGTCTTTTTCCTCGTCTTTCATTCAAAGCACAATTTTTGCAAATTGGGATTTTAACACAGTATCGGCTAATTGTTAGTTGTGTTACTTTGGGCGAGTCCTTAAATCTCCAACAGGAAGACAATAGTGACCGCTCTGCAGAGTCACTTCGTGATCACAGGCATCATGAAGTACTCAGCGCAGGGTCAGTGAGTGCTCAGTAAATGGTGGCTAATCTCATGACTGTGTATAAAGAGCTGCTTCAGGTTTTACTTAGGTGGTAAAGTTTGACTTGGTCCTTAAAGATGAGGAGAAAATAAAAATAAACCCTTAAAAGAGTATGTAAAAGTTTACATTAAGTGCCAATGTGTATTTTTCTGAGAAGAGAATCCTTAGCCTTCTTTGTCAAAGGGGTTTGTGACCTCCAAATGTGTAAAGAACATTGTCTGGGCTCTAAAGAGAAACACTGAAAAGGGCCTTTAAATTTTTTATCTTAATTAGGCTCCCTGGAAATGTACCAAGAGAGAGTAGTATGCTGGTGTATGGGGGCATTTCTTAAAAAATATTTCTTAAAAAACATAAACTTAAGGAAGTGAGGAAGGGTAGGAGCAGGCGATCTACAATGTGGTTGCAGTTGAGGTCTCAGCTATTCCAACAGGGAACTCTGGAATTAGGATGGCTCAAGTAGTTGTCCCAAACAGGCTAGGGAACCGGGCCCTTTACTCTCACATCAGCTAGTCCTTGGCCTGTCTGTTCCCTGGCCACGGGGTGAGGCAGGCTCCTGAAGCAAAGAGCAATGTCCAGTCAGGGAGGACAATGAGCCAGCTGCACTGACCCCAAAAAGAGGATTTGAAGAATATCCCCGTATCTACTCAGGTTCTTTTCTAGGGTTTCTCATCCAACTGCCAGGTAAGAAAGCAGGCAAGTGACTGAGGGCAGGTGCCCTGTTCATACAGAGATCTGTCTTGGACCAAGAGGACTGTTAGCTTCATTCGGCCTCACATCTTTGTTACCACACCAGGCTCTGGTTATGTCCTTCCCTTCACTCACTCTCAGTAGCCCCTTCTCCCCTGTCTTAGTCATGGGTTACTTCTCTCCTTCCCAGTCCTTCGCTTTTTGTCCTCTGCAGTCTCCTTCATCTCTGTACCAGGCACTGAGATGGAGGCTGGTATAGAGAGCCACATGTGGTTTTCAATGAATGAACAAATTCATGTATTTACTTGGAATATATTCTCTGTATTTCTAGAGAGACTTTGCTCAGTTGATTACAACAGGACATGGGAACCCTTCCCAGCCTGCTGCATTGTTTATTTATCTTTCTTTCTATGCCCCTCTCCACTCTAGTCAGTAAGAACAGTGGTCTCACTATCATAGTTTTTCTTTATTATACTTAACTCAGTTTTACACTGTGACATTCCTTCTCTTTCAATCTGTATTTCCTTTTTTTCCTTGGATCAGCCTTGTCAGAGATCTGGAGATCTTATTAAACATTTCAAAGAACCTCATTTGTTTTTATTAATCTTTCTCTCTTTTAGTTCTCTGTTCATTGATTTGTGTGTAGTCTTACAAAACTTTTGTGAAATTGAAATAAGGTGAATCTACCTCATACTTCTTCTCTGGCTTGAACTGGGAATCTTTGAGGTTTGAAATTCATTTATTCAAGGGAAGTTATTAATTTTAATGTCACATGTATCAAACTTTGTGCTTTTTCTGTTTTGTTTTAAAAATCCCTTTCTGCTCAAAGGCCAAATTTATCCATCTATATTTTCTAATGATATAAAGTCTTGTTATTGCCTCATTTAAAGTCGGTTTTTGTCTATAGCGTGAGTTAGAGATACATTTTTCTTTATTTCCATATTTATTACCTTATTTTTTTTCAACTTCATTTACTGAATAGACCCTCCTTTCCTCACAATCTGATAGGTTACCTCTGTCATGTACAGAACCATACACATGTGGGCCTGTCTGTTTCTGGCTCCCTATTCTCTTCCACCAGTCACTTTGCCTCTTTGTCAGTCCCACACTCTAAATTCTTTGGTAAATCCTAACTGCTAGCAGGGCTAATATGCATCAGCTTTTCTTCCTTTCTTCTGTGGAAGGGGAAATCTTGAACTTATTCTCTTCCAGATACATTTTAGAGTCAGCCAATCTGAATTTTGTCTTTCTATTTATTCATCTTTTTTTTACAGTTTTACTCATACAGGGTTTCTTATTAAATTTATTTCTAGGTATTTTATCTGTCTTGTTGCTAATGTGAATGTTCTTTTTTCCATTACTTCATTTTAGTGTTTTCTTTTTATTAAGGCTATGATTTTTTATTAATTTATATCCTGCTACCTTACTGAATTCTCTTAATATTGGTATTGAATTTTTTATTAATTTTTTTGGTGGGGGTTCCAGGTATATTATATTACTAGTCATTTTGCACATCAGTGTCACATCTTGTGCTTTCCTAAATGTTTGTTGTGTTCTTGGGGGACCTTCTTATCCAGGTGTATTTCCTATTCCTTTCTAATTCTTATGCCTCTTGTCCAGTTCCATTAGCTGAACTTCAAACAATAAAAAATAGTAGTGTAGGTAAAGGAAATTTCTGCCCTGTTCCTGACTCTAGCAGGAAAGCACCCAGTATTTTTCCACTAAGTCATGTGTTAAGAAAGTCGCCATTGATTACTGTTTCTTAATTTTTTTTTCACCGTGTCAGAAATGTGTGTTGAGTTTGTTAATTTCCTTCTCAATATCTGTCAAGATGATAATTTGAATTTTCTCATCTGATCAATTAATGTAGTCAGTAATATTTGGGGGTGGTGGAGGGAGGAGGGGCACTTTTTCTAATCTGCACAAAGACATCACGGTGTTTCTGTTTCACTGGATATTCCTCTGCCTCTCATTCCTTTACTGCTTCTCACTAGGCTACTTATTCAGGAGGCCTTTCCTAACCATCCCATCTAAATCACACATTTCCTGTCCTTCATTGGCACTCCTAGCCCTCCTCCCCAGCCCTGTTGTATTATTTTTCCTGGTCTATCACTTTCTAGTGTACTTTGTATTATGTTTATTATATGTTATATATTATTTATATACTTATGTAATATTTATATAATCGATTATATATAATGCATATATATTACAAATATATAAATATAATTATTTATATAATATATAATATTATATATTACCTGTTTCCACTAGAATTATGCTCCATGTGGTAGGGAGTTTTGTCCTTTAAAAATCTTTTGACCAATATGTTTTCAATGCCTAGAGAATACCTGACACACAATAAGCATGCAAAAATATTTTTTTAAGGGAATGAATGAGATTGGAGCCTATCAAGGAAAGGTGAGAGGGAGCATTGGATGTGAGCCTCCTACTGAAGAAATACTTGAAAAATTTTTGTATTATTTCCAGGTGAGTTTATATTTAAACTCATTGAGAGATACAGGAAAGAGATTAAAAGACTTTCATTGTCGAACTTGGACACTTTGTCCCATTACTGGATGACACAGCCTGTAGTGCTCCATGAATTAATACATTTTATTGATCCTGTGATTATTTGTGAATAGCTCAATTATGTTTTACTGCGTTTTGTATATTATTGTGCAATGTCAATTATTTGTAATTCATTTGTGCAATGTAAACATTTAAAATATGTCACAATTTTTGTAATCTTGCTTTGGCGTGTCTTCATTTTAAAATTCATACAGATCTTCCTCAGTTTACAATGGGGTTATATCCTGATAAACACGTAAGTTGAATTGTTATTCAGAATGCATTTAATACACCTCAGCTACCAAACATCATAGCTTAGCCTAGCCTACCTTAAACTTGCTCAGAACACTTACATTAGCCTACAGTTGGGCAAAATCATCTAACACAAAGCCTATATTATAATGAACTGCTGATTAGCTCTTGTAACTTATTGAATATGTTCTGCAAGTAGGAACAGAATTGCTGTGTGGGTTACAGAATGGTTGTTAAGTGTGTCTGCTTTTTACCCTTGTGACCACTTGGCTGACTGGGAGCTGGGGCTGCTACCACTGCCCAGCGTCATGAGAGGATCGTACTGCATAGCACTATCCCAGGAAAAGATCAAGCTCAGAATTTGAAAGTACTCTTTCTATTGAATGCGATCACTTTCGCATCATTGTGAAGTAAACAAAATGTAAGGCAAAACATGGTAAGCCGTTGACCATCTGTACTAAAAACCTCAAGAAAAATAGCAGAAGTAGCCCAAGCTTTTCTCCGGCTCTGAGAGCTCTGATAGAGACTGAGAGCCAGCCTTACACTGCAGCTCCATCTTCTCCTGAACTACTGTTGAGCGCTTTCGGTAAATGTGTCACCTGCATTGCACTGCCTTTCTGTGCTGAAGCTTAGAGATAATTTTTGCTACAAAGAGTTAAAATATCAG